CCCCCCGGCATCCCTCTGGCACGCCCCAGCATCCCCCCGGCATCCCTCAGCATCCCTTGACATGGCCTCAGCATCACCTGGCATCCCCCCGGCATCCCTCTGGCATGGCCCAGCATCGCCTGGCATCCCTTGGCACCTCTCGGCATCCCTTGGCATGGCCCCAGCATCTCTCCGGCACCCCCTGGCATTCCTTGGCATCCCCTAGCAGCCCCCTAGCACGCCCCTGACATTCCCCCAGGATCCCCTTGCCGTGCCACGGCATCCCCCCCAGCATCCTCCATCTCTGCTCTCCAGAGGCCCAGGGATTTGGGGCACTCGGGGCTGTGGCAGGTTTAAACAACATCTTGCTGCTGCGCATCCCTGGGCAGCGCCGGATGAGCTGGAGCAGGAGCCTGCCTGCAGCCTCCAGGCAGGGCAGCAGGAGCAGGTCCCAGCCGGGACAGGGACCTCGCTGCCCGGCTCCTCTGTGCTGCCCAAGCTCTGCAGACCCCAGGGGAGATGGTGGGGTGATGCTCACCCCTGTACCATCACCCCAGCTGCCTGCCCAGGGCCTGCACGGGTGCTGAACCCTGAAAGGGCTGCCCTGCCCATGCTGGCATTGCTCCCGGTCTGAAGGACACTTGATTGATTTAACTGCTCTGTAGCTTCTTGGTCTCGAATAAAAAAACTCTAAGGTACTGATCCCTGTGACAACATGAAACCTCCTTAGGAAAAGCCCCGGTGATGCTCTCTGAGCGCACCCACAGACTCTTCATCCCACTTTTCCCATCCTGCATCTGGATCCGACCCTTGGAGACATGCTCAGAGGGCAGAGCTGCCCACAGGCTCAGCCCCGCACCGGCAGGGCTGTGCAAGCAGCCACTCTCCCCCATGGCAGCAGCTGGGCTTGGGCAGCAGAGCACTTGGGCAGCCCCTGCACTGGACTGAGAGCTCCACTTTGAAACCCCATTACCCCCAGACCTTTTCCATATATCCGTGTTTCACTCTGCTAAAACAGCGTCAGGCAACCCATGCTCGCTCTTGGATCCTGCAAAGCATCTGCTCCGTCACAGCCCCACAGCCCTCGGCCTCAGTCTTCCCATCTGTAAAATGGGGCTAGAAAGCTGCTCCCAGGATTTTTACAGCCTCTTTTAGGGGCTGTAGACAGGATTTTCCAGTAGTCAGCAGTTCCCCTGAGCTTCTAGGTGCACTGTCCATCATCCCCCAAAATAAGACGAGGGGATGCTGCAGCTCCTGTTTCGGTCAGTCCAAACAAACCCCTGAAATAGCATTTCCCCTGCTGGCTCTAGGGCGATGCTCAGTGCAGGCTGGGCGTGCTGCCTGCCAGGCACACAGAGGGATGCCAATGCATGCCGGGCACATGGGCATTCAAGGAGCACAATTCCCCCCCCCAAAAAAATCAAGCCCCAGCGGTGCTCCTTCCAGCTCTCTGAAACCCCAGGAAAAAAATAAATCAATGCTTATCTAATGGAAAAAGCCAAGAAATTTTGCATTAACGGAGAGCAAAAGCTGCCCTGGGAGGACCGCGCTGGGGGTAGCGCTTATTTGCTCCCTAGGTTGTGCTGTGCTGGGGGCCACGCAGCAGCCCCTCTCCTGCCCCTCTGCTCGGTGCCATCTGAGGACATTCCGAGACTTTTCTGGGTTTTATATTACTTGTAAAATAATGGTCCTTCCTCCCTGTTACCATTTTCTTGCAAAACCCATGCCCACTCCCTGTGTCCCAGGCAGCACCACACCATGGTGTTTAGGCAGCTGCCTGCGCTGCCTCTCTCACAAGCTCCTCAAACCAGGCAGCTCCCAGGGATGTTTTACTGGGGGTCTAACACACCAGGCTTACAAAATCAGGCTGTTCCTGGGAAAACCCATCATAATCCCCCTTGGGCTGTTTGGGGAAGAGCGAGGATGCTCTCAGTTAATATTAAGCACCAGGGAAGTGATGATGGGCATCTTAAGTGACTGAAACCCCGCTGAGACTGTCAGGAGGTGACAAAGCAAGAGTAATATCGGTGAGAACAGCATCGCTCACAGTAGCCCCAGGCTTGAGCTCAAACCCAGCCCGATTCTGTGCCCCCGCTTTCCCCCACCCTACAACACAGCTCTCTCCCCTGCACTGCACCCGCTGCGGGGTTGCACCCAGGAGGTGAAGCTCCGGCCCAGCATCTCCCAGCCCAGGGGAGTTTGTGGCACCACAGGGCTGAGGTTTGGGTCTGTCAACCCCTGTGCCTAGGCAGATCATGCAGGGACCCTCTCGGTGCAGGAGGGCAAGGACCAATTTCGGGGTATGCAGGTGGCTGGTGGGGGGTCTGGTCTGCTGGTGGGGAATCTGTGCTGGGGAGTCCTGGGACCGGCAGCGAGGAGGACACTCCAGAACTCCAGCATGCATCTGCCACTAAATTTAGCTGTTGTCATGCAAAGGCTGAGATCCGGTACCGCAGGCTCGCTGTGATAGAGGGGAAGACGGCCAAGCTCCCCAGCCAGGCTGGGACACACCAGGAGCAGTCCCAGCGGCAGCTCCAGCTCTGCTCAGCCACTCCTGAGCACCTCCATCCAGCAGGGTGGGAGTGAGGGACTGGGGCAACCCAAAGCCGCTGATGGTGTCCCAGCATGGGGTTTTCCTCTGGGACTGTGCCCACGGGAGCAGGGCAGGAGGCTACATCCAGGGGTGCCTTTCTGCCCTGTGCTGCTGTGATGCTTTCGGTGCATCACAGGACACAACCTGTCTTAGGATCCAGGAACATTTTGCAGCCAGGGAGCTCTTGGCATCTCCCCTGGCATCAGCTGGTGCAGGCTCTGCACTTCGTCTCTATTTTTCCACTCTTAATTGCACTGTTACTGCAGGATGGCAAAAAGAGACATTTTATGGGGTGTCTGGGGGTGGATACAGGGAATTTTGGCTCCTTTGAAGAGGTGTGGAGAGCTGCATAGTTCAAAGCTGTGGTTCCCACCATGTGATGTTTTGAGACATTGCTGGTGAGATGGTTTACAACCTTTCAGTGGAGCAGGAAGGGTAAAACTCATGGACACAACCCTGGGAAAAACCCTGTAGGACTCAGTAATGGTGCCCACCTTCTCTTGGCCCAAAAGCAGCTTCAAAACACTGTCTCGGGGCAGATTATTCTTGTCTTCACCAATGCAGTGGTGCCAATAAGGTCAATCTGACCACCCCAGCTTGCTTCTGGCTTTAACCCTCTTGCCTCGTACACATGGTGACTGAGCTGTCCCTGCCATCCACCCCCCCCATCATCTCGGCACTGTTGAACCTCCAAGATCAGATAGCATTGGCCCAGATGGGTCAAAGCAAATTAGCATCAAAGCAACCCATTTTAGTGGAAAACCATATGATAGTTAACAGCCCTGACATGAACCGGGCGCTGGCCCAGTTGCCCCTAGCCGCAGGTCCAGCGGAGGCTCCTCCTGACCCACATCCATCCCTCGGTGACCTGACCTGCTCCCAAAACACCTCACAAGCAAGTATCACATCCCACTGTGCCTCTTCTCAGACTTTGATGGGCACCGTGCTTGGGCTACGTGGTGTGAATATACCATGAGCAGTAGCCCCTACTGTGTTGATGACACCCCTGCGAGCACCAAGGATGCTCTCTCCCAGCAGCAATGAAGCTAATGTCCTTTCCGCAGGCTGATAAGTTTGCCTGTGAAAGGGCTTTAATCATATTTCCCTGGTTTCCGTTCCAGGAGGCAGAGGTAATGAAGAGCATGATGGAAGTGGCGCCTGTGCAATCCCCACAGCAGGAAAGCAGGAGGAAAGGGAGACGGGGAGCAGGGGAGGTGGCCAGAGAGCTCACAGTAAAGTCCCATCCCTTGTCATTTGGTTAGCAGGCACCCGTCTGCTGCGGGAGAGCCTGGCTGAACCCGGGTGCCACCCACTGTCCTGTGACCGCCACCAAATCCCTGCTCTGTCCTGGCCAAGCTGCTGCTGGAGCCCAAGCCTTCATCCTCTGCAGGACACCATTCCCCAAAAACCAGGAGGCACCAGGCTCTCCGCTCTCTGGGTTATTCCTGTGCAAGTGTAAATAATCACTTGGGCACTAAGAAGCAACGAAGGAGTAAATTCCCAAGCAGCAGGGCTTTGCTGCAATGCCATGCCTGGGCAACTGTGCAGCATCCCTCTCCTCCCCATGCCCGCTCAGATTTGGCCGCTACCACATGGCACACTGCCGTGCCCCTGAAGCCACTCGCCCAGGGAAGGGCAGCTCTGCCTCACCTGCCATCTGCTTACCTGGCTCAGCGGTGCCTGTCCTGCTGCGTCGCATATGGCATCAGAGCTGCCCCTTTTTGGACGGGTAACGAGTGATGCTGCTGCTTGGGGCTGTGCCGGTGGCTCCTGCGGAGGGTCCGGCTCCCGGCTCCCTCCTGCTTCCACTCTGCAGGGATCCCTCCCTGCCTCGCCTGTGGCCAGAGGGGATACAGATGCCAGGGGTTAAATCCCCTGGGAGAGGGGAGCTGGCTGACATACAGACATGGCCAGAGCCCCTTGTCCCCAACCCAAAGCCCCGAGGGCCACTCGTGTGGGTGCGCAGGGCACACCGAGCCCGGGTGGAGGGAAGGGGC